TGCTGGTTCCCAGCCTCTGTGGGATGGGGGGTTGGTTGTGATGTCAGCAGGCTTGTGCAGGGTGGAAATGGCAGTGGAGGGGATGGGGAGTCAGCAGGCTTGTGTGGGGTGCAAGTGGCCCACTGCTGCATCTGTTCCCCTCTCGTACAAGGCTTCAAGCCAGCACCACCATGGGACTGGAGCAGTCCTTGTATGGGGACCACTCCAGCCCACTTGTGGTAGGGGCACTCCAGCCCATTAGGCTGGAACAGCCTCCCCATCTGCCCCATTTAATCAGTCAACCTGTTAAATATTAGGTTTAACAAGAGCCCTAGTTTATATAGGTGTACCAATAAAACAAACAAAAAAGTAACAGGTTTGCCTTTAACACTGAAACTATTTAAAAATGAAACAGCATTACTAAATTCACCCTCTCTCATTCTTATTACACTAGAAATATACCAATATAGCTAAGAAATCTTTTGCATCAAGACATGTGAAACACAACTTTATTACATCCTTTCCTCCATGGTCTAGTTATAGTGCTTTGGGACAGGTACCTTGCCTCTGACATGTCTGTAAAGGACAATGCATCTTAGTGGTACTATATATAAAGTGTATGCAATCTGATTTCAGTTTCATAAATATCTCACTGGAAAGATTAGATAGCAAGAAGAATGTGTCTTCCCTTTCCACTGGGAAGCTGGTTCAGTAGTGAAAGTATCATTTACTGAATCAAACAAAGATGATAGAAACTAGGCATTGCACAGACATGCCCCATAAGTCTACGGATTGACAGGATCCTGCTTTGCTCAAGATTTGTGAGGAGCACAGGATGGGCACAAAGTGGTGTTGATGAAGACCACAGATTTAATCCACTTTACTTCCAACGAGAAAGGGTAAACCTTTTTTCCCTAATACAAAACCCTAATACTAGAAAGTATTTTCTAGTAACTACTAGAAAATTTAACAGCATCAATAGATAGGTGGAGATTCAGCTTAGCTACATTTGAATAGAGGAAGGGTAGAAAACTTCTGTGATTCACAACGTGTATTAATTCTATGCTTTCCTGTATACAGGACCTACCATCTTGCAGATTTCTGTTTGGTCATCAGTCCCAAAAGCTTTGAGGAGATCTTCCTTCTTTGCAACTTGACCTTTAGAGACGTTTACAAATACTGTGTTGGTCTGCAGAACTTCATCAATGTCTTTTTCACTGGTAAATAACAATTGTATTTATAATTAGAAAACATGTGCAAGCATAGCATTAACTAGCAGGGAGTAATCTTATGGTTTCCATTGTGTTTGAGGCTAGAGCACCAATTAGTGGAAGCTGGGAACTTGGATGTAAGCAGCTGTCAGACCTTCTCAGCACTGCTGAGGAATGTAGTTCAAGGCCCTTGGTAAATCTAATTGTATCTAATAAAAAATGGACATTTATTTTGTAGCTTTGAGAAACAAATTTCCTTGCCCGATTACTATCACTACCTTGGTTACTAAAAAGGAAAGTTTTAAAATTCAATTTATTTCTCCTCTAGTTTATACCGATTTTTTACTTTCATCACTTCTTGAAGCTGGAACCATGAAAATCAGTTAAGCAATTCTCATTTTGGCTCTCAATGCTGACACTTGTTTTGCAAGCACTGCTGGAGAATGTTTTTATTTATACAGAACTATTTTCACTGGGATTTAAAGAAAGGTCAACATTGATTTTAAGATCTGCTTTTATACTCTTTCTACAATGCCCAGTGGAATCAGTTTTCCTTTAGGATGCTAAATGAGACATATAAAATATTTACTTTAAGGGACTAGTCTTTTGTTTTAAAGTTAAACCCTTAGCTTTGTCACAGAAGCGAAAGAAAAACATTGATGAGACAAAATATAAAAGACTCAATAGGTACTCAAATATTATGCTAATAGGGATAATATAAGTTTAGGATAGAAAGACTTCTTGAATGAATAGTGACTGCAGGAAGAGGTCTTTACTCTTAAGCTGCTATTGCCTTTTTAAGATTAGCGGTGCAGAAACAAAACAAGCACTGCCATCTATAAGAAGAAACAGTGCAATAAACAAAAAACATCAATATTTTTCAAATAAGAGCTGTCAACTGGAAGTGGGAACAGAATATTTCTAAATGCTGAAGTAAGACAATATACACAGGAAAAAAGGCACAATGCGTTGAAAGGAGGGACACTTAAAAAAGTTAAGGCAAATAAACTAAAGATGCGAAAATATCTTCAAGTTCAAAGAGTAAGTAAAGACTTAAAGAAGATTCAAGGTAAACAGTATAGAAGTTATGCTGTCATAATCTCCCTAGCATACTTGCAGCCTACAGCAGCAGCAGGTTTTTTCCCCCGTCAACGCAGCAACACAGCCTCCTCAACTGACAGTAGCCATGCTGATAGAAGTATGCTTCCACTGACTTAATTGCAGCACTCATTGGTGTGGTTTTTTACACAATTGACCTAGCTTCCTCAGCCTAATGTCTAAAGTTATAACTACACTACCAGGTGCTCTCTACTTAAAACAGCTACACTAGACGGAGAAAACGCTTCCATTTACTTCATTAATCCACCCCCAACAGCAACTATGTCAGTGAAAAATGTTTGCTGGGTGATCCAAGAGCTGTCTGCAGCTGTGCTTAGATCCATGCAATTTATGTTGTTCAGAAGGCTGACTTCTATTGACAGAAGTTGCAGAGTAAATATAGCCTGAGTGCAGGCCAGGCTTAATCACAGAAAACTAAAACCTGAGTGAGAGCATCCACATCCTTTAACATACGGGCCTTGACTCCATCCCTGGGTCACCCCCACCCTGTTAGTGGCAGCCCCCGTTGGAGGAGGATAATGGCCTGACCCAGTCCATTTCGCTAGGAGCTGGATGGGGAGAGGCACCTTAGATAAGGTTCCTCCTGGCCCCGCCTCCAGCCCAGCCCAGCCCTCAACTCTGCCCCTCCCCCCCAGCTCGTCCC